GAGAGCCCAATACATTTTAACAGCTATTTAATGAACTCCTATTCCAAACAAGTCAACTTCAGGTGAGGCTTCTTGCATGCAGGTACTCTTCACAAATTTCCATGTAATAAAGCCAGGCCAAGCATAGTCATCTATTTTGGCTTCCCATATAAAACAAAATGCAGGACTCCATGAAATTCACACTTTTTAAAACTAAAGTGCATTTTCTAGAACAATAACCAATCTTCTAAAAATGGGCAGGAATTAAAAATATACCATGATTTTTCAGTACACAGAGAAAGCATATTGGATCAAATTCCCAAGACCTAATCTGAACATGCAGCTTTGGCAGCTAATTCAATTAAAGCTGGAAAAAAAAAAGAGCCTGATTCACGAAAAAGAATGATACAAACAAAGTTATCAGGACCAGTATGCAATTATTTTCCACTCCACCCTAGTCACTTTTGCACAGAGCGACAAGTATGTTCTGAGCTTTTTGACCTTAAGAATGCTTGACTTTAAGTTTGGATCTGATTATCATGATCGCCACATTCTTATGTGCTGCTATCTGATTAATACTCACCCTACAACTCTTTTATCTTCCAGAATCGAAGAAGATTGCTCATCTAGAATGAGAAGGAACTAATGACTAGAGTATTGCCTGTAGATGTAGTTTATCACTTCAATCGCCTGTAGCTATAGTTTATCACCTCAAATTTTTGTTACATAGATAGATAGAAACTAGTTCAGATGTGGCAAAACAAATGCTGAGGTCAAAGAAATATTCTGCTTGGCACACCAAGTACTGCAGTCCCAGCTGTTTTTCAAGTTTCTTTTCTATATGATTCCATTATCACAGAGTGGTAACAGAGAAGAATAAAATTATTCTATGAAGTTCAGCTTATAATTAGTTGTGCATCTCATTCTGCATCATCTCTATTAGAGTTACAATAATATAACTTAGAAGTAACCCTGACCTTTTATCACTAAAACCTTTCTGAACTACCACAGCAATCCATTGGGATATACCACACAGTGCATAATAATACACTTGCAACACTCAGTTGAGCAGAAACAAGTACTGCATGATAAATACACTGACTAGGATCCATTGTAATATATTCTTAATGTGAAGATTGCCTCTTGCAAAATGCTAGGAACCATCAACACATACAACACCCACACAATGCCTAGTGTGTGATGTCACTATGGTGACTAGTGTAACTGGCTGCCTTTGATTACAGGATGTCTTGATACATTACATTGTTAGTTCCTCTCAAAGACCTGTTACTTTTGCTATATTCTCTGTAGTAAATCTGATTAGTTCACATAATAGATGTGTATTTGGCATTTTTTCTTCCCTACTTGGTCTACTAGACTGCCTCTTAGTAGTCTGCAAACTGCAGTGGATGTAGACTTTTACCTTATAATGATTTTAGAGAAAGAGGCATCCTACACGTAGAACCAGAAAATAAATTATAGAAAGACTCTAGGTGGACAAATAAAGATTATGAACGGACTGTTTTGATTTGTCACTTAAATGCATAAATTCATACAGGTTTGGTGAAAAGTTTCAGATCTCTTTTCCATAATTTTTTTGTTAATTACAGAAATCATACTTCATGATCATCTTGCCCAAAGTGCTTTCCCTAATACTTCACTTAAAATCTTTAATTTAATTAAATTTAAGATTTTTTTTTTAATTTAAGACCTTAAATTGTATTGATATGATTGTAAATTTCACTGCTTGGTGAGAAAGGTATGAAGTCTGGCTGGAGAACAGTTTCCTAAATATATTGAGAGACTTCCAGACCACGGCCCCTTGGCATTCGAAAGCCAAATACGTTTTTCCAAATTCACACCATTTGTGAAACAGTAAAGGAAGAAAGCAGCAAGCTGTTTCACTCAAATCCTGCTAAAGAATGCCATTTCTGCATGCTTATCCCAAGAAAGGGGACCTGTGTTCCCGATTTAAACCCACATTATGAGGGTTATCATGTCACCCTGAATATTTCTACATTTCATTACACTTCTAGACGTGAAAGCAAGATAAGCACGTGGCTGCTGCCTCTGATATGCAAACTTCTTGGCACTATCTGGCAGTACGTACTGAAGTTCAGTAAAATTAATCACACTTTTTAATGGTTATGAAAGCAATCACTCTTTGAGAAGCTAATAGAGACACCTCTCATTCTCTTGTGACACAACATGACTTGGCATACACTTTAGTTTAGGTTTAGTAATCTCAAAAACATTACCATACGAAGTACCTTATCCACTTAAACATTAACATATTTATCATCAGCAAATGATGATTTGTTCAAAGCTAAGGACTCCTCAAGGACGCCTCATAATCATGAAAAGAGCTCAGAGGGTTGTGATCAGCGGCACAGACTCCAGTTGGAGGCCTGTAGCTGGTGGTGTTCCCCAGGGTCAGTTCTGGTTCCAGTCTTGTTTAACCTATTTATCAACAACCTGGATGGAGGGATGGAGTGTACCCTCAGCAAGTTCACTGATGATACAAAACTGGGAGGAGTGGCTGATACACCAGAAGGCTGCGCTGCCATTCAGCGAGACCTGGACAGGCTGGAGAGTTGAGCGGAGAGGAACCTGATGAAGTTCAACACAGGCAAGCGTAGGATCCTGCACCTAGGGAGGAATAACCCCACACACCAGTACAGGCCGGGGGTTGACCTGCTGGAGAGCAGGCCAGCAGAGAAGGACCTGGGAGTGCTAGTGGACAACAAGTTGCCCATGAGCCAGCAATGTGCCCTCATGGCCAATAAGGGCAATGGTATCTTGGGGTGCATGAGGACGAGTGTGGCCAGCAGGTCGAGGGAGGTTATCCTTCACCTCTTATCTGCCCTGATGAGGCCACATCTGGAGTACTGTGTCCAGTTCTGGGCTCCCCAGTTCGAAAAAAGACAAGGAGCTACTGGAGAGAGTCCAGCAGAGGGCAACAAAGATGATGAGAGGACTGGAGCATCTCCCTTGTGAGGAAAGGTTGAGGGTACTGGGTCTGTTCAGCCTGGAGAAGAGAAGACTGAGAGAGGATCTCATCAATGCTTATAAATACCTTAAGGGTGGGTGTCAAGAGGAGTGGGCCAGACTGTTTTCAGTGGTGCCCAGCCACAGGTTAAGGGGCAATGGGCACAAACTGAAACTCAGGAAGTTCCATCTGAATATGAGGAAAAACTTCCATACTTTGAGGGGGACAGAGCACTGGAACAGGCTACCCAGAGAGGTTGTGGAGTCTGCTTCTCTGGAGGTATTCAAAACCCTCCTGGACGTGATCCTGTGCAACTTGCTGTAGGTGAACCTGCTTTGGCAGGGGAGGTTGGACTAGATGATCTCCAGAGGTCCCTTCCAACCCTGAGCATTCTGTGATTCTGTAAGCATCCTTTCTGAGCAGGCAAGGCAGGGAGCATAGAGTGCTACTAATACAATGTTTTCCCCCGTCTTACTGGATCCCTCATCATAGTTCTCCTACTAGAAAGACTCTGGGTACTTGCATTACTATTTTTTCAGTACTCTTTCACCATTCCTGCCCTCTTTCTTCATACTGCTGTCTGTCCTCACTCATCTGCTGATGTCTGTCTCTGCCTCTTTCCTTCCATGTGCTATTCCCTTGAAAAATTACTTTCTTGACTCCTAATAATTCTTTTTTGACCTTCTCTCTCTCCCCACAAAGCTGATGAGAAATCCCTGAGGAGGAACTGAAATTAGCGGTAAACTCTGATCTAATATATGTGGAGAGCAGAAAAGAGAGTATTTTGGAATTAAAAAAAATATTCAGAGAGCAGAGAGCCTGAATTCAGGCTCTGGTGTGACAAGAGGGAAGGATAAAGAGTCTTCCTAGTGTCATGATACAATCTCTACTGGGTCCTTTAAATTCAAGAGAGAAATTTGGGAAAATATCTGCTCTTTCTGAAGGAGATTGGCCCTTTGAAGTAACAAAAGTGAAAGAAAAAGATTTCCTCTATCTACTGTACAAGCAAACATCTACATCATGGGAAGAAAATTATTCAACTAGACACACACTGAAGTAGACTCCTGGCACTGATTTATATTTCACAACATACAGACAAATACAGGTTTTTTTAAGTGAATAATAATTAGCACTTATTCTTAGAAATTACATATTCATTGTTTTGTTAGATTATGCTGAGGACTGGAAATGGCACTGGTGAGGCTGCTTTCTGCTGACACTAAATAAGCACTTAGTAAGGGTAAGCTAATCATCATTCAAAATATAGACTATATGTAAGGCCAATCAAGATTCTGAATTACAGAGATTATAGATGGTTCACTAGAGTCGAAATATAAACTGATTCTAGGATTTACTGGCTAGATTGTTACCCTATGTGATTACATATGTGTGAGACTGACTTGCAGTGACCTTAAGAAAAAAAAGAAAAATACAACTTTGAGCATTGAATGCTCACTGCTAGAATCTGTGAGCAGAGAAATTGTTATGTGTTTTACTCCTACTGCATTCAAGGAAGCTGGGCTGTAGGTCTGCTTTTTGTTAGTAAGGAAACAAACAACTGCCTTAAAAAATACCCAGCTCTTCTCAGTTTCTCATGGTAACATTATACAAGATCCTGAAAATTCCTCAAGGCAAAAAGGAATAACCCAATGCAAGAACATTTCAGGATAAATTGTACCATTTATTCTGCAGCACTTTTCCTGCATGTACCCTTCATGCAGATACTTAAGTACTGATGATACTTAAGTTTTGCTTTATGAAGGTCTACCATGTCCCTTTTGCAGTCAAAAGTAAAAGTTTATAAATTTATAAAATAAAATTTTGTCTAATCCTATCTGTCAGTACAAATCAAATTAAAGAACACCTTTCCTTTATATCTAGGTGGAAAGATAGAGCAGTCATTCATTCACACAGACTAGCTAAAAAAGCACACCATTAACTAAGAAAAATAAAGGCAGAATTACAACTTCTCTGTATTTTCATGAGTAATAGAAATACTTTTATTGGAAAGAGAAACAGAATTCAGACTTACTGTGCATTTGTTCGGCTTCTCTCCTGAGTGGACTCTCATGTGAATCAACAGTTTATAACGGGCATTAAATGGCTTGTACCTTCGTGGGCAGCCTGCCCAGAAGCAAGTGAAGTCCTCTCCCTTCCTCTGGTCTATATGGATCTTCTCTATGTGCTGCACAAGTTCCTCTTGCTGGTCATACAGCACACCACAGTCAACCCAGCGACAGCCATGCTTGCCATTGAAATCATCTAGCTCACCATCTTCATCAAGCAGGGACCCTGGGGCAGAAGGAGGCACAGGCAGCAGGTGGATGCGACTGGAGATGCTGTGTGGATGCTGGTGCTGGTGGGCATGGTATGGTGGGGGTGGCCCTTGTGGAGGAGGCAGCGGCAGCAGCGGTGGAAGAGGCATGTCAACCGTATCGCCTGAGAAATCATCCAGCTGTTCATTTTTCAGGATGCCTACCACCTGGTTGTCCGTGGGCAGCATGCCCTGCTGGATCACCATGTTACTTGTGGCAGCCATCTGCAAGCTGGCTTGCTCCAGCTGCTGCATCCGCTGGTACTCATCACCCTCATTCTCAATGTACCCTGGGAAGGTGACATTGCCATTAGCCATGAGAAGGCCTTTCTGGGCAGTTGGAATAGAGCAATTTTGGGGTATACAGCTTCCTCTCACCCCCAAAAAATGTCCATAGACCTCAGGCTGTGGGGAGACGTTTGCTGGTGATGTCCTGGAGCTGTTGATGTAGGCCACCAGAGAAGTTGGGGATGTACGGATGATTGTATTGAAGTCGATCCCAATGCCGTCAGACAGAGGAGATAGAGACAGTGCTCTCTTTTTGGAGCGGGCTGATTGAGACCGGGCTGAGGAATGGTGAGGACTACAGTAAGGGGAAAGCTTATTTTCCATGCCATATAAGTAGGATGGTAATGAGTTAGAGACACAGTTACTGGACGTTCCAGGTGAAAAATTTAGTAAGTCCCCCAGCTCACTGCTGTTTTGTAAAACTTGTTCAGGAGGAACAGAAGGAAGTGTCCTGTACCCATGCGACCACTCTTGCTTAATACTTGAAGTGGGTTGACTTTCTGACAAGCTTAATGTCGTAGAGGCCAGAGACTCACATGACAAGAGTGACCTGGAATAAAGGCACAATAAACTAAGCAAGCAGTTAAAGAATTCAGCAGTGGTTCTTCTACCTTCACACACAGATAAAATTAAAGAAAGGCTACATATGAGAAAAGTTCTCCCTAATTTTAGGTACTCAACTTTAGCACCCTCAGTTAATAAACCAGCAGGCATACACAGGCAATACATATATAACAAGGTCAGCGAGGAAACCAACTTCAAAAGTTCAAGATTTTGAAGAAAAGTTGCTGTAAAGGTTCTTGTTACATCACTGCAGAAATCAATGCTAATTTTTTCATCAACTGCAATGTAAATAGGTTTGGGCTTCTGAAGCCAAAGTATTATGCTCCTGCCTCATATGAAACTCATATTGATTTGACTATTATTTTTGCTGGGAAAGAATGGGAAGAAAACTGATTAAAAAAGAATAAATATTTAACCTGAATGACTTTGCCAACTGTAATGCGTACAAATAGTGTTCTCTACAGAAATAGCTCACATTTATAGATACAGATAATATCTAACTTTACAAAACAAACAAAATAAATGAATAATGTAGAAGAACTGGTTGAAGGGGTTTATTTAGTTTTGATTTGATGAAGTATCTGCCTCCAAGTCAGCAATCAAAATTTTTCATGAAAGTGTAATCTTGCTGTTATCGTTCATTTTTCACAGAAATACTATGAAACTTGTCTATGCTGCAAATGTCCTACAGGTAGCTTGAAAAAAAGAACTTGTAAGCTCTTAACAATATTGTTCTCTACAGAAAGGTAAAAAAAGGAAACACAAGGACATCAGGGTCCCTGATTCATGGCTGCAAAATGCTGGGCAGAGGCCAAGTGGATTTATGTCTTTATGTTTCCAGTTCACATCTTGGCAGACTTGGATTTCCAGCCAGCCAGTGGTGCCATCAGAATATTAATTTCTAATTTTAAGGGGCTGTAACAGTAGAAAGAACCAGGTATGTATCTAGATAAACCGGGAGATCTCACAGACACAGAAGCCTCTGCATCTTATATCTTGGGGCTTAATTCCTGGATTTATTATTTTCACAACACACTTTTGAAGAAGCATAGATATTTCAATGGTGGATCAAGTACCCAGGAAATTTGCCTTCTCTTCTAAATCTAAAATGCATTTTTTTAAGGTGAACAAGTCAATCACTGCTTCTCAGCTTCTCACACAAAAAACCAAGATACACAATAGTTCCTCCTATCATACACAGACTTCCAGAGATGAAATTAAATTAAAAAAAGGACAGCTATTAAGTGCTAATAGGTACCTTAAATATCAGGTGTTGAAAAATATTTCTTAAAGCTCAAAGTAAACAGTATATGAAATATTTACATGCAGTAATCCAATGGAACTGTCATGTAGGCAAGGAATAATACATTCTTATTTACAAAGGTAAGTTGCTATAGTCAGTTATTTATAATTATTTTACTGCATGGTTTTATATCGCCACAAATTTCAAATTTCTAAATGAGAAAGTATGCATCACAAAGAAAATTAGTAAAAACAAATCTCATCTCTTTCTTGATACAGACACAGTTACAGCAAGCACCTTTGAGGAGGCTCTTCTACCTATTTTACTTGCTGCTATTTTTTTCTTTAAAAAAAGGGGAGCAAATTCTAATGTCTACTCAGGGTAAGCAATATTGTGGTTGCTTCTGAGTTCTGCAAGATTTTCTTATAGACACTGCTTCGGGAAACACAGATCCATGGGACAGATCTGTTAAGGCTCATAGTTGCATTGTATGTCTGCACCTGCAGTGACTGCAGCTTCAGTGGAGACACAGGAAAATACTTCATTTAAGGATTGGTGGTAGGCTAAAACTGGAGATCTGAATCCCATTTAAAACAACATCGGTCAACCCAAGAGAGCAAGACCAGATCCTAAACAATGGCTCTGGAGACGTTCCCAGTGAATATGGCAATATTTACCAAATTCTCATGATTTTGCTTGGTAAATTGACTTTTCACCTCTGAGATCTGTGGATTATCTTTCAATTAGATCAGCAAGGTTGAATTAATATATGAAAACACCAGGTAAAGTCATTCAGGCAAGAGAAATGTATATAGCTTTCCACATTCAGTTCTAGCCACAGAGGTTAAAGCTGAAAAATCACAGTGTTTTTTATCTTGTTCTGCCCACCACACAAGCACTTCCTAAGTGATGGGGTTTTTTCCTACTACTTAATATTACAGCATTTTCCAGCACTTGAGAGTCAACCAACATGAAGAAAGAAAAGTCAGTTTGCAGTGACTTTGGTTTGCAAGATTGTGCTGCAAGAACACAGCCCAGTCATTGCCAAAGAGCTGGAGGAGGGGAATTGTGCTCAGGGCACTGTGGCTGCCCCCTCAGCCCCATTTTGTCCAGAGGCGAAGCTTGGCACAGGTTGAGGGAGAAAGTAAGCAGTTTGCAGGTGCTATGTCTGCGCACTGACATAGCTCACGAACAGCGAAAAGGTAGCTTTAAATACCACCCAGCCTTGCTGTGGTGACCTATGGGATAGACGGGTGAATACTCCTTTGCTCAAGATACTTGATTTGTAACAGGTGGTTGATTTGCTGTATCAGAATAAGAAACATCTTGTTCAGATTGAATGTCAGTATAGGGCACCATTATGGAGATTACGTTACTCCATCAGGGTTTAAATGGCACTTTCAAAACAAGGCACTGAAGAAAAGCACAATTAACATGCTGACTACAATTTGCATGGAGAGAAATGAGAAAAATAGGATTGCTATATCAGGTCAACCTTGTGTAAGATTTAAATCTAAAGGCATAATAATTTGTGAAAAAAATTGATTCAGCCTGTTGGGTCTTTTATCAATGTGCTTTGTTAAAGCACAGTTCATTATAGAGCAGTTAAATCACATTAGTATGCTGTAACCCCAAATACAGATCCACAGTCTTCAAAAGAGCAAGAAAAGTAAGTAACGTTTGATTTTTCCATGCTAGGCTATATATATTTATAACTGGAAAATATAAATAGGGGATGATATTTTCTCTTTTATAAGTAGGGGAAAAAAATCATGCATCAATATAACAAGTCTATTTTTGTAATGTCAAGAATTTTAATCAGATGCATAGTAGGACCTGTGTCATTCAAAAAGTTACTAATGCCTAATACAAATACCCATCAGTGAAGCTGAAGAAAAACTGCTTAAATGTCTCAAAACAGGACAAAAATTAAAAGCTGGTCCAGATTTTCAAGTATACAATAAGTATGAGCCAGATAATCTGAAGAAGTTTGGTTCTCACTTAAGCTTCTAGATTCAAAAGTAGCATAGATTCCAGCTTACAAAACAAAAAAAAAACTTCTTTAAAACCCAGTCCACACTGTGACCAAGTAGTTTTCTGGGGGAAAATAAATATAACTAATATGAAAATGAAGGGCCAGCGATACCACTGTGCCAGATTCTCAGAGGGCATTAATTGGCACATCTGGTTAGTGTAATCTAAACCAGCTTGAGTTTGGACCAGATCTTTTATGAACATTTAGAAGAGATTATTTGCAATTACTTTCTATTCTCCTTCTGTGTACAGAGGCCACAGTGTCAACTATTACCCAGAATCTTAAACATAAACATGGAAGAGTGAAAACCTTGTTTTCTTATCTTTTTGCATGGTCTTCTGCTTTACTAGCCAAGAACCCTTTGCTCTTTCTTAGGTCCTTTTCTGATTTGTATCAAAGTAAATGGCAGTATTACATCTGGTTTCAAGCAGCATAACTGAATGCTCTGAAAAAGTTTTTATGGGAACTCTCAAAAGAGATGGGGAAGGTTTTATCCATCATGGTCTATATAACAAAATCTGATATTATCTGTAGCAAAACTCCAATTTTGCCAACTTTTTTCTTTCTTCCATCAGTAAAAATCAAGACAAGTTGTTTTGGTTTGGGTCAATTCAGCAAATAATCTGGTTTGGACTGAGCTGCCAGAGCACAGTTCATGACACCTGAGAGAGACAATCCAGCAAAGGCACTCAGCCCCTGAAGGATTATGGAGTCTGCTTAGGCAACCAGTTTAGGAAAATGCAGGTTATTGCTGAAGCAATTAAAACAAAAACAGAAACAAAAAACCACTAAAAACCGCCGAAAACTGTTTAAACAATCTGTGAATTAAAAACTGACTTTAAACTTGTTTTGCCCTATAAAATAGTCAATTTAAGGGCAAAATTGCTGAAATGGACATTCTTTCTGTGACAAACCGATTTTATAACATCTCCATTGATAAATCATTAAAAGACACTCTAAGGACACCAGAGCCTTGATTCTGCCAGAGTTTCAACTTCAGTTCGCCCTTAGTAAATGTTTCTTTAAAATAAAAACAAAACCATATAACTCAATACTGACATAGTACACCCAATCACACATTCAGAAAAACATAACAGTGTTTGGAACCATACAGGCACACCTAAAAATTACTAAGTAATAATTACTTAATGATATTTTTATATCATCAGTTTTGTTCTGTCTCAAAGGCGTGTCTCTGGATTTGTCATTTGTCATCATCTTAGCACTGAATAGTTTTCCCTGACATGTTTAATAGGAAGCATAATTAATTTTGTAAATTGTCCCAGGGGACTCAGTCTTCACAACTGAAGTGACAGAAATGTCACAAACTGTCTTACAGTACAGTAAAGCAATTTCTTCCAGTTACATAACACCAATTTTAATTATTTCAAGAATGTTCCTGGGCTTGTAATACAGTGATATTTTGAGAATAAAGACTCGTGTGGCCTTTTGTAAATAAGAACAGTTACACTTCAACTCAGTAGGCAATTGTTGCACAAGTCACATCTACAAAAGAAGCTTCTGAAATAACACACCAGAGTTTCCTCAGCATATGTTTAACTAATATCCAGGGATGTGCTTAATGTATGTGTATGGAGGTTGTCAAATAACTATTGTCCCTTAAGTCATGTTTGTCGACAATACTCATCGCCATAATGTCAGAAGTTATTTAAGCATTTCAAAATTAATTTACAAATATTTTTCTGCAGTTTAGTGATATAAAAAGGCAACATTTACAGGGAGAGGCCATAGTTTTTATTAAACTACCCTTCACAGCTAGGAAAATGGACAAGTTTTCAGGGACACAAGTCTAACACTGATAAAGTTAACTGCTGGCTCAGTGCAGACTAGAAACAACTAATCTGATTAACTTAATTATGTAAACAGTTAAACAATTTGAAAACAAAGGTATTTGATGAGAAGAGAGGAATGTTAGCAGGGCATTTAAGTTTATTTTGTCTGAGTGTTACCTGACAGGCATCAACATAACACTTTTAGCACTATGGAAAGCTTAAAACAGGTCATTGCCCCTGAAGATGTCATATGTGGACTATTTCTGCTTTCATCCTCTGTAACATTTCTTGTCCTTTGTACAAAACTATAGTTAAGTGACCATCAAACTATTTGTCTAACAAAAAACTCTATCAAATATAGAAAATGTGTGGCTAAATTTCACTCATGATTTGAATGATCCAAACAGTATGATTATAGCTGATGTGAATTAAATTGCATTGAATTAAATTTCCCATGGCATAACAGAGCATCATTTAGGCCATTTTAATCATCAGAAAGATTGCATTTAAATTACAGGAGAATTAAAATACCCTCTTTTTAAAGTACTGAATATAAAAAAGAAACTCAGGACCTTGTATCTGATGGAGAAGCACTCAGGCTGGAAGCATCCATAGACCTCTGTAAGCTAGGGCTGATCTGGTTGCATGCTGTTGAAACCTGATTAGCAGGAGGTGAAATAGGTCCCAGCTGTTGAACTGTCATGGGACTGCTGGTGACTATTACATTCTTGCAGCTGCCTTCTCCAATGGACTTGCACTGGGGTCCATAACCAAGACCTCCTAAAAATAAAGAAGGCGGGTTAGTATTCATCTCCTGTGGACCCGTGACGAGGCCACAGAACTCGTATCCCTTTGCAAAGTAGGAAAACTGACTGAAACTGAGTATCTTCAGATAAGGATGAAACAGGGGATCAATACAAGGATTTTGCAAATTTCGGCAAACACAAAAAGCAATATTCTAAAGGGGAAATTAATAAATTAGGCACGTTTAAAACATGTGCTGAAGTACATAAACTAAAGACCAGGCATCATGGATAAGCATCAGAAAAAACACCACTGGAAGAGTCCAGGTAAAACAGCAGCCCTCAGCTGAGGGACAGCCAAGCCATAAGTGCACCTTTTCTCTGAAGAAGGCGGGAAGACAGAACCCAAGGATGCTGCCGGAACACCGCCACGCCTTTAATCCTACTAAACCCCACAGCTCCAAGCCATTGCAAGCCCTTCCATCATTCCTACCACTAGCCATCCAAAAAGTAAGGGGACTGCAGGCATGCCTACAAATGCACCCAGTGCCTGGTGCAGCGAAGCGCACAGGCTGCATAGTTTCCCGAGCAGGAGAGAGTTACGGCTGGAACCCAGCATTCCCCAGAGGTCTGTGGAGAAGAATTTGAGCCGAATGAAGCAGAGAAGCATCCTGGACTTTTTTTTAAAGGCCACAATCTGCTCTTAATCACTGCTGCCACGACTTCAACCGATGGCTATTACACAGTAGCATGAGATGATTACAGAGGTAGCTGGCAAGTGGGACATATCTGTAAAATGCTCTGTGCATTTCATGTTCTGATTTAGGTCGGATGGTGGTTTACAAGATCCCTGGCATTAAAACACTTCAAGATGCAAAAGTTAAAATGCAGGTCATAATATGGAAGTTGTTGGATATCCAGCAAATTCTCATCACAGTTGGAAATTAATAATTGGATGATTTATATTTCTGGCTGCTTCTTCACGTTCAGACTACTCCCCAAAGCAGGACAGCAACATCAGGACAAATAGGAAAAGTACTTCAATTTAAACCATTTTGTAAATTAAATCTACTTCTGACTTGGTTGGACAACTCACATACTGATTTTTCTGAAGGATGTTCAAATGGATTTTGAACTTCACGCAGAAGTATATTAAGGCATTTATGGCCTTCACAGTCATAGGAAGAAAATCCAAATCCTTCAATCTCCTTCAGATCAAATAGGATTATCTTAAAAATTTGCAATTCATTCTAGAAATTTCAAATTATAACTTTTCATTACCAAAAAAAAAAAAAAAACAAAATGATAACAAATAGGTATGTTTATTCCTGTTTCGGAGGTCTGTGTCTTCTTTTCAAATTATTCTTCTCTTTGACTAACTAGTAATATCTCACATATATGTGAGGAGCATACGCGTGATTCTCAGTCCACTGGGATCCTAAGTGCTTTGTAAATTCACTTACAGAAGTTACAAGTTAATTGCATGATCCACCACCAAAATGTACTCCTTGGGATGAAATATGGCAGCCCTTTAAGAAAAACAGCTTAGTCATTGCTACTGCTTCGAAACATAAGTGAAGAATATAGCATCTGGCTGAAAACTCAAGGGTAAGGAAAGAAGAAAACATTTAATAACCCATCCTGAAATTTAGCTACAAGGACTGGAAATTTCTGAGGATAAACACATAAGGAAAATTTCTTGTACTGCACTCAACTCCATTGTGGGTACCAGAAAAAAAAGCTTTTAAGCCTTGTAAGATTGCAGTTTGCTCTCACTAAAGATGTCCAATTAAAAGAATAAAAGAAGGCATATTTTCTTTCCTGTGAAGCAATTTGTATTTTGAACTCACTAAAGCTGAATCAGTGTGCTACTTAGCAGTTGCTTTTATAACGTTACAGAGTGCTAAAATGGAACCAGCCAGCAAAAATTAGGCAAAAAGCGTAAGTTGCCCCTGTAAATAACACAAACGCTACTCCTCTTAGCAAAAGGCTGAGTGGGGTGAAGTTAAAAATTTGCATGACAAATCACATCGTATAAAATATGTAACACTGCATAATATGCCTGTATATGTGTGTATATTACATATGTTCAGTCAGCTATTTTTTAGAAAAGTGTCTTTAGTATGTAGAACCAAAAGCTTTCTGCACCAAAGGATATAAAAGACAGGGAACCATGCTATAATAACATAAGAAAGCCAACCGGTTTTCACAATGAAACACAGTTGTAATGCTTGTAAAGCCTATATATATTGACTACGTAATAAGATGTAAACCTATTATTTGGTATTGAGAAAAGCAGGTCTACCACAAAAATGTACCCAATATATACTGATTCTTCCCTGGATGACACCATAATGCCCTTCACTCACAAGCCACTTTCAACAAATTTCAATGGTAACAATAACATCTACTTTATCATATCCAGGAAATCAAGGGCTGTGCACTTGTAAGATTTTCATTTAGAGACAGGCCATATGTCAGTTCAAATAACAGTCTGCAACCATACAGTGAAATTGCTATTTATACACGATTAAACCTGAGCTGCTTGGAACTTACATGTCAGGAAAAAAGAATCCCAAAAGCAAAACCAGAAAAGGGAATAGTTTCAAACCAGTACTGTTAAACACAGAATGTTGCAACCTCAATGCATCCCGATTTCCCTTTCAGTTATAGGGTCTGCTCTTATTACTTGTGCATAAACAGCACCTCAGTGACATCAAGAACAGCTAAGAGAATTTGTTGTCTAAGGATAAGGATGACGGCCAAAGATAGTCTGGTCACTGGTCAGTGAAAGGAAAAAATGAGAAAAGGTGTACTTTGGAGAGATTGTATTACTGGGATGACAGACAAAAGTAATGGAAGACTCTGGTCCTGATAAACATTTGCCTGGGCATTTCTCTGATGCAGAAGTGGAAGGAAAAGGTTTTGTTCTTTTTATCATTGATAAACATTGGATGTTATGGGGAAAAATGACAATTCTTCCACTTAAAAGGCCAGGGGCGAGAAGAGAGATTATCAAGAAAGAATCTATCATCAGCTCCTACCGTTGAAAGAAACTGCAAAGTAAAAGACTACTGTTACGAAAAGCAAAGTCATAATATTTTATCCACTGTTTCATATAGGTGTAAATGAGCCAAAAGACTATCATTAATACCTCATCTGTGCCCTGCAGGTCACTGAACGGTATTAATTTGATCTGAATCAGGCGTGAGCATACAATCACATGTCTGTTGAGCTAAGTCAGAGCACGAGATAGGAAGCTTATGCTGACTTTGAGCCAGCTGCAGGAGTACAGACCACATCTGATCTAGCATAAAGTTAAACAAGTGAAACATGGACATCTGACCTGGCATGAGCCTGCTGCTAAAGGGTAAGCTGTCAGAAAATGTGTTCAAAGGCGTTGAATAGATGTGAACTGGCAGAACGACGATGTCCCACATCCGCATTTGGTATCATATACCCACAGTGCAAGAGGAGCCCACAGTCCAGGTTTGCTGTATCACTGACCCAAAGAAGGAAAATTTCAGTACAGTGAAAGGTCAACCAGGAATTGCTTAATGTCTTGAATCCACAACAGCTGAGATAAATGGGAACCTCTTTGGAGGACACCAGTGGGTTTTGAATGAGGCTGTAGATTCTAAGAAAAATATGTGGACCTAATATTTTAAATTAGCAAAAGAACTGATTTCTTTTCTTATATACTAAAATATAAATCAGCACATAGTTCAATCAAGGTAACAACAGTTGAGGAAATTTAATCAGTCCTGAGCTGGCTCACAGAAAGGGCTATGGTTGATTAGCATGTCATTTATTCCAAATAAACATATTACATATAAATCAAAACTGCTCTGTATCAATAACTAACAGTAATAGTTAACAAGTATAAACAGTAAAAATATTTTATGGAAATATTTTAATTCATTCACTTCCTCATTCATTCATCTGCCTATTTTCCCTGTTTATTCTCTATAGTTGGTTAATAGCTAAGCTTCACTCATCCTTGACATGAAAAAATATTTCACTGCAATCTTCTGAAGAACATTCAAAGAACACAGAGAAATACAACTACTTTAATTTAGCTACACTGAATTTCAGATGAGATTCTCCTAACTTATGTCACAGTCATACTTTTAGGAGGCAGAGTCCAATATGAAATTATTTCCATTTAAACACATTTTCTTTTATCAGATATTCAAACCAACCAATTTCTTTGTCTACTTTTCCAAGTCAAGAGTAGTAACTTGTTAATTCTGCAAGTAACTCAGGTTATAAAATGAAACTGCTTCACCAAACCTTTGAAATTGTAAACTATACTTTCCAAGTATAAGTGATAATACAACAAAAACACGTAACAGCAAAACCAATTTTAATTGTTCAGTGTTCTGAAATGCACAACACACCAAATACATAACACCAGATCAAATTCAATCACCTCTTAGATCAATAAATTCTGCAATAACAGAATTAATCAGCATTGAAGAAAGCTATTAAAATTATCTGAAAACCTGTCCTGTTGTTACTGTTACAGTAGCAGCTAGAAATAAAAGAATTGCAACAAATGAGCAAAAGGTAATTTCCCTAGGGGATTTTCTGTCTGTTGACATACAGTAATTAAGAGCTTTGGAAACCGATGGTTTTAATGTTTCCCTTGTAACTGGCTTCCAGTCTTGTTTGTGTGGATTCTGTTTTCACCGAAATGGGGAAAAAAGGGCACAGCCAAAGAAGCATATTGTAAGACAATAAATACTAGAAAGGACAGAGACCAAAGGAGTAAGGAAGGCTCTGTCAATGTATTCTTCATGTAGATCAGACACAAGTCACCAAGCCCTTTTCAAAACAAATTTGGTCCTTTTCCACAACATGGCGAATCTTCTGGATGTCGCGATCCTCAGCTACTATGTACATCTTTGCTGTGTGTCACTATACTCTGCGGGGTTGTTACCACCCTAGTTGGAGGGTCTTTGCAGTAGCTGCTGACTGAACAAACTCAAAAGTTTGCTTGGAAGACTTGTTTCCAGATGGGAAA